TGTAGGAGACAGATGAAGAGCGTCAGAAATCCGAGAATCTCCTCCATTTAGTTCTTTAACGACAAACCTATAGGCGAAAACAATTCACTTTAGCTCTGTCATACTGAAGATGGCTAATACTGACTAGAAAGCAGCATTAGGTTAAGAGGTTGAGGGAAGTAAAATCTAGCCATGGCTACTGGCGCACCAAACTTTAAAGTGAAAGGAACTGCCAGGAGAACGGTACTCACTTGTAAGAAAGTTCGTAGAGTCCCCTATTCTTCAGAACCATTTGCTGCTTGGCGTCCTCTCCCACCCTTAAGTTGCCAAAATTCAATCCATGGCTACCAACACCTGTGGAAGAATGTCATTTTAAGTTGGAATTGGAAATGAGAACTAAGGTTTGTAGTGAACGGAAACCTAGTAATTTTATTATTTTCAACTGTGGAGGTATACTTCTATATGGATATATGTATGTATCTGCAAACGGAACTGCTTCGGAACAGCCATATTGTCGCGCATGGATAACGAACGGTGACCCAAGTCGCTAATATATACTGAATTTGCTATGGGTGCATGGAATTGCAGCCTGCAAACTTGTCTTAAATTCCTGAAAAGTATCCGTGAGGCAAGAAAGGCTTGGCGCGCTGCGACGGGAACTCGATACGCAGTAAGTGGATACAATCACAGATAAAGGAGCAACAGCAGGAGAGAACGTACCGACTCGAATACCAAAGCTTAACTCTGCAGAGACACCTACCAAGAGGTCCGTGTTGCCAAATAACGTACGGGGCACGTCCTAGAGTAGTTAGAGATTTTCGAGTCCAGCGGTATAAAACATTTCCAACTCATAAATTTTCTAACAGACAGTCACCAGTATTAAATCCATTCACCAACTCTCTCTCTCCTTACAACCACCACCCACAATGCCACCACAGTCAAAGCTTGTAAAGCAGACTGGATTATAAATTGGCTGAACTGAGACCACACACACACTAACAACACACGAATCATCCGATGAACCCTTGTCAGGAGTCCCGACACACCAACATCACTCCCGCCTCAAATCCCTACACTATCGCGGGTCAATCGGTCATGACATGAACTATTTTAGCCATATATGGCCATAAGTCTTCCCTAAAACACCACAGCCCCAACCCTGTTATCACACCTTTTCCTAACTGTACAAAACCCATCTTGCATGAGACAAGAACCTACCTCACAAAACGCACGTACAACACAGCCTCATTTAACACTGCAAATATCTCCTACAGCAAACATGTGATCCCCTTTTGCAGCGCCCGTATGATGGATGAAACTTCACATATCAGGACATTTTCAACTCACTTACATGGAATTATGCAGTTTGTGGTAGCCTGGCATATAAATTGTGTGCCATCTTGTTTGTTGGATGCGTAGATAGTCTGTTCAGAGTTATCAGTCACTGTGCCCCCTCCCATAGCCGGTTGCTGGACAGGCGTGGACAGTCGGGTGGTGCCCAGGGAAGGGGAGAGGGAGAGCGTGAGACATACACAGGGAAATCTATCATCAGTACAAACCAGCACAACCGATACGCCTCTTTTGTGGACCACACAACGAGATAATTTCCAAGCGGTGCCTCCAGAAAGTTCCGTGTGCATTCTCGTGTTACTGGGATGGGATTGCTTATCTAGCCGCGTCCCGCACGATATGGAAGCAGGAACCCGCACCCAATATAGCAGGTCGTGTGCTACATTACAGGAAACATAACTATCCCCGTGCTTCCCAAACTGTGACCCTGCTCTTAATCCTAACCATACCACTAAAACTCATTGATGAACGTTCCTCGATGGCTAACGGAACGCACTTTTCCCGCCCCACCTTTGCTTTGGATCTTATTACTCGGGCCCTGACAGCAGCGTTAGCAGCTAGTAGTATTGGTAGATAGTATTGCCGGAGAAGACAAAGGGAAACTGGAATGGCCATTTTTGACTTATTAGCCATCGTCAGCTAGTCATACACAGTCCCAAGTGGTACACCACTCGAGGCTCGAACTCGCGACCTTTTGATCAGAAGTCTAACGCCCTAATCATTGAGCCACGAGCTCATCGTCTTGCCGGTTTAAATTGGGAGATATTGAGATATCTGCCAGGCCCCGAGAAATGAGGCCCAATACAAAGGCGGAGCGAGATGAGCGAGTGCCGCTAGCGGCCGGTAAAAGTTCATCAAGGAGTGTCAATATCTCCCGACCTAAATCGGCAAGACAACGAGCTCGTGGCTCACTGGTTAGGGCGCTGGACTCTGATCGCGTGGTCGAGAGTTTGAGCTTCGGGTGATGCACCACTTCCAGTTGGGTATGACTGGCTGACGACGGCTAATAAGCCAGAACTGACCAATTCAGTCTCCCTTGTCTTTACCCACACTTCTAATATACAACTTATGCTAGAAGTACATTAATGGTATCTTTACCCCAGCGCTAGGCCTAATCTTGTTTCTTACGCTAATTTACCTAGAAATTAGCGCAAAGTCGTCTGTATTACGGATGGTTCTTGTACCCGTGTCCTGCCGACAGACGAGGGGCGAGCAAATAAACACCTCATGCCTTAGTTATTTTCACGAGCGAGTGAGCAATAATTAGCACCAACAGGGGCTTTTTAACGGTTCATAGGATATTGACAATCCTTCGTCAAGAACACCTGGCATTTCACTGATTTGTTGCCTTATTTAATCAGGGCAGCAAAAAACGCCCCAGAAAAACTAAGCCAACAGATGCTATCTTACCTTTAGAGAAGATGATGTCCAAGAGTACATCGTAGGCCTCAGCTTGTACCACAATCGTTTCTACGTGAACCAGTCCGGCAATATTTTCTTTGTCGTACACCTCTAGTCGCAGATTCTTCTTAAAGTTTGCTTTGTAGGGCCTGCTGGCGCGAAAAACGACAGTGACGGCGGACTCCTCCATCGGTGGCACTATTCCACAGACAGAGGCCAGTGCGAAGTCCTCACCCAGCATCTCGGCTCCCAGTATCTTCCAGACAGCCGGCAATAGTGTGTTGTTGCGCAGCACTATCTTTTTGCTCTCGATTCTGATAAATGACAAAATGTGAAGTGAAATAGCTCTTTCGTACGGGCATAAACGGTCACTTAAAAACAGTAATAAACACAGAATGGAATGATGTCACTGCATTATTACTCTCTAACCCACGAGTAGATCCTCTCATTTCGGACGGGAGAACTTTAAGCAATCGGGGATTCTGAAGGCTATTTATAAGGTTGAAAAGACTGGAGTCGATATTGTTTGTCCGATAATAGCACACAGAATGATATGATTAAATTCACACTTCCGTTCTGGAAGGCTGTTAAGGAAATAATGGGTTAGTATTTCACCGAGTTGAACTTCTCATAAGAACAATCTCTCAGAAAAAATGGCCGTTCCATAATCGAAGTCATGAGCTCTTTTGGCTGTTCAAAGGACGAAACACCTTTTCCGTGAATTGTTTTGCATTTCCCAAAACGAGTATATGTAGACCTTTGAAATTAAATATTTTACATAAAGTGCATTTTATTATAAGCAGCATTTCATACGACAGAGCCCTCTAATATCATCATATTATTGTAACCAAACAGGCATTTCTGTGGTCCTACATTGCTTTCGAATCCTTCAGGGTCGTTTACTAAGGAAAGAATAAGTGGGAACGGAATTGTATTTCATTAGTCTTCCAGAGCATTAAAATATGTTGTGAGACCCTTGTTCATAAAGCTTTTGAGTCAAGAACGCAAATTTTAAGAAGGTCACCAGAACCTTGAGATCTCCTACAAAGATGAAGCGCAGAATATCCAAAAACATGAAACATTCTACAAAGACAGGTAACACTTTATTCTAAACCATATAAGTTAATGCTCATAAGAAGTTTATTTAAATATTTACCTAAGACATTGAATATGTTTTAGGGCAAGTAACCAACGACAGAGGGGTTTGTTGTCTTCGATGTATCATGGCTTTTATCGTTCATCGTGAAAGGTGGGCCAATATATAAAGAATATAAGTTAGTGGCCGCCAAATTGACCATAATTCGTTGGAGTTTAGAGGAGTTTCGTTTAGGTCACGAGAAACAGCACATCTCAGTCTTCAAGCGGCCAGTTTAAGTTGAAATGAATTCTGAGACATTATTCGCGTTTGCATAACGAAGCTGTTTATTGGCTTCTGGTTTGGACAGTAAGAGCAAGCAAAGCAGGATAGCACCAGGTTAAATAGTTCCTTCTGACTAAGCCAGTTATAGCTAACAGTTTTGGATACTATCCCTCCTGCGCGATTTGCATGTCGTAACTGTCATCCCCTGCATGAGAAATGTCCTCGAATTGTAGTTATAAAATTGTGCTGTAAGTGAGGTGAGTTTGACCGGCTTGCCGTTCATATACCTCTATATATAGATATAAATCAAGGTGGTCGGATACCCCTGGTTTAAGAAAGGCGGAACAACAGAAAAAAGAATGGAAGGCCTATCAGGGGTAAGTAAAAAAAGCCTATTTACACCATGTTTTTCCCATTTTTGTCTATCTCCGAGAATATGCTGAGGTACAAGTATGATAATTCAAGAAAACATTCCCCACAGAAGTCGCCTTACCTTTCCATTCCATATCAACACCCAGGGTCAGCATTTACGCCTTTATATGCGTATCGGGTGTTCGTACAAAATTTAGTTTAGCTATGTAATACACATACTGGACATCAGTTGCTGGCTTAAGCAGATACTCCCTTGGGCCTAAGCGCGGCGGATCAAAGGTCAGGTGGAACTAGGGAAGGCGGACGGCCTAACCTGTCTGGAGAGCAAATCCTAATTTTTGTGATATTCAGACAAGTCAACCGGAAATGTTTATTGAAACCGAAATTGTCTTAGTTCCTGAGTCTGTTACTACGTTAACGTACCTGTGGAGGAGAACCTTCTCAAAGAATATTGTTTTCGTATCCAACTCGAGCTCAGGCATGACACCATCACACCCGAATGGCAAGAGGAATGGTTCAGGATTGTTCAAGATGCAGCATACTAGAGCGTCCTCAAAGCGCTTGATCGTTCGTGGAAAGACCCAAAGGCGAACAGATTGGCATTCATTTGGAAGGAGTCTTAAGGCTTTTGGCTCCACGCAGACGTTTTCCTCTTTTACATCCCCCAGAAAGCTCAGCACTAAATCAGCCAATGCTGTACTGTTGTTGGTAAGTTTTAGTTCAACGGTATTTTCAGGATACTCGTTGGCTTTGATTCTGAAAAGAGAAGTTTAGGAGAAGAAAATAAAGCAGTGCAAACCGGAATTTTAAGACACATATTTTTCGGACTTCGAAAGCTTTTGGCAGAGGTTTTATTGTTTTGTTTCGAAACCATTTAGCGGCTCAACCGACAAATTCGCTTGCGTAAGTACAAGTGAAACCTGGATTGTGTGAGATGGAACATTAAGGGCGAATATCCTCTGTGCAGATAAAATAAAGGACGCTCAACCGACTGTTCGACCGTCGATTTCAATTATGTCCACCATGGGCTTCAACGAGTTGAAGGCAGACGCGGTGACTTCCGCTGGATTATAGTGAAAGTAGACTCGTGGAGAATCTACCCTACTTTCTCACCGCTCCCACACCTGACCCCATGTCAGGACAAAAGTCAAGAAGACCGGAGACGGAGGAGGGCGCACGCGACTGGCGCGACCAAGAATCAATACGCGTATCAGCAGCATGCCTTGCTAGGTAGGCCCCCGCCTGCGAGCGCCATAAAGGCCGCAGTTAGCCACCCCACACATCAAGATAGATTGGGCCGACTGCGGTGTTCAGGTTATCCCGTGAGGTGGCAACCGTCCAAGCCACAGCTTTTAGCGCAACGCGATAGCTTCAAGTGCAGCAGATTATTTGTAGTGAGGAAAGATATACGCTAAGGGTCGACCTCACTCTCACCCCCACCGCTCAACCACAGCACACAATACGCACCCAACGGTTATATTCCATGTCAGCAATTTCGCCACATGGTATAGGCCATTCAGAGATACGCCGACTCATGTTTCCTGTCTTATTGTGATTCTGTAGTGTTGAAATGTGTTTAACAAATGCCCAGTGTCTGGCCGTAAAAATGTTTATTCGAGAAAAAGTAGCCTTCTGTCAGTCAAGATCCAGGTATTCAGAGTCCTTGGTTTCGCATTTCCACGTAGAAGATATAAGCATCCTGCTGATTGAATCAAAGCATTGACTTGAACGATTTGGGTGGGCAGATATAGGGCATCGTTTACTTTGAGTTTGACTTCTCTGATGGATTACCCGAAAGGTTAATTTTAATGCATCATATCCGAGTAACATGTCAAAATACGGGAACATGTGCAAGGCAAGATATGTTGCAGAGTGATCATAACGCTTTCATACTAATGGAGGACTGTAGGTATACATTTCGAACAGGCTTTTTAAGCTGAAAAACAAATATTTCAGTAAAAAAAATTACTGGATTCCCCTGGGTGGGGATTACAGAGTGCAAAACCTGAAATTGTTGAATAATATTTTTACAGAAAAACGCTACTTTAGCCTGATAAGTAGCACCATGAAGTTTCTACCTTTTATCAACAACGACTAACAACAGCTACTCAAAAAAGTCTCGAAAACCACAGTTCGGATCGTCTAACTACATAGCGTTAAAAGTTAAAAGGGTTGTTCAGCGTTTAAATTCACGAGTTTTCAAGAAGATACAGAACAAATATTTGGTCAAAAGAATTCCAGATTGAATTTTTATTTTACAATTTTAGAAAAAATAAGGTTTTTACGAACCTCTCCTTGGTCTTCTCTATTAGCAATGGCCCGAACTCAAAAATACCCTTCAAGGGAATAAACTTCTTTCGAATGACTCTGTTTTCGGCAGTTGAAGAATCACCGCGAGGAAATATGAACCTGTGCAAAAAGTCACCTTTTTACTAACATTTAAAAGATATATGGCTAGGATTCAGACTAAGGTCTAGACAATTAATAATAATTTTAACGATTAGCCAATTCGTATTATTAAAGAGATTTCGTCACCAAAAATAGAATCAGCTTGAAGACAACTTTCCTATACATATACATTTGGAGCTCTCGAATATACCCTCGTATTAATCACCATTGCTTAGACATGGAACAAGTATAAATGTTCATATTCGGACTGCATGACTGTAACTTTAGGAAAATTTTACACATCTGGGTTGAATGATTAAATGTATCTGTTTGCACCACTGCTGGTCTAAATTTTCAAACTGAATGCCTTTTGCCGACGAGGGACAAACAGGCAATTGAATTTATTTTAATAATAATTGATTTTGGAAAATTTAGGTCTGCATAAAGCACCTCAGCTTCTATCTCTGAACTATATTTACACACTCTCATTTAGAACAAGGAAAACCTCATTAATTAATAAATTAGGCCTTACCGTTAAGTCGTTTACTTACAGTATATCTAAAAATACTTTTACTGATAAGCCATTAAACTGACATACACATTCTTAGATTTTAGTTGCTAGAACAAGATTCTACTAGATCCTAGTATTTCCTCGACAGGCTCCTACGAAAGAAACCGTTTCAGAGAACCGCTTGACTCACAAATCCGTAAGCACTATTCCTGGTTGAGGAGGACAGATATATCGATGGCCCCAAAGGCACAGTTGATGCCTTCTATCCATATACACTGGAAAATGTCATTACAATGCTCGACAGCCAATGCCAATATTTAAGTGTCTAGCAGGAGTTGGATATATCCTTCACAAACATTGCTTATGGAAACCGATATCACACGTCATGCCCGACGTTTCTATAAAACCCGCACTTGATTTTCAAGCAACTAAGACAAAATCAGAAGATCGACTCGCTCTGGGTGAATTCATTTTCTCAGTTTTTGTAATGTATAATGAGACAGCAGCTGCTCATTAAGCTTACGCCTCACGATAAATGTTGTGCGTTAAATCAAGAAAATAAATTCATAAGCCAGTTGTTCACGTACCGCCAGCTTTAAATGAAGTGAACTTTTTTGAAAAAAGTATGAAGGACACAGGGATATCACAAACGGTTTTTAAGAACAGTTACAGTTACTGAAGGATGCACTAGAAGTGAAAGTATTTAGTTTATTGGTGCCTCTGAAAAGACCTTTTTTGTCAGTGATTTCGAAATTTATCCACAGGTCAGTTTAATTACTGAAAAGTCGCCAGCAAATCAATCTCACTGAGGTTACTCCAGTCTTTTAGTTGCTGACGCGATAGATGTTTCGGGAATTTGGAATTTTCCCTCGTCATTTCTGCTATCAGCAGCAGTGATTGTCTAGGTGTGACCACGGGTGAAGTTTTTGAATTGAAGTGTCAAGGCAACATTTAATTTGTCAACCCTTCGTTCTAAAAAACAGGATAGATCCGTGAAGGCAGTTCCCTTGTGACTTCTAAAACTACTGATCTTTAGAGCTCTGAACAAAAATTCTGGCGAATTTTCTGACCAGAGTTCAAGTCTCTGATCGTTCTCCTGCGGTTGGCAGATTGTTGGCTGAAAACAACAAGTAACCTAGAAAGGATCACAGTAAGACATTTGATATCCGCCTATGCACTCCTAATATCACTGCTGTTGTAAGTATTGCTATGAGAATTGCGGTTTATCAACTAATTCTCCTCCGCGTATCCTAATATGCAAGTGAATTAATGTCAAAAATAAATCAGGCAATTACCTTGGATTATTTTCCAGGGAGGGTAATTGGCTGATGCCCTTGCAGTTAACTTTAAACCTCTTTCTGCTTCC